TGGCCAATCGTCGAATCACCGTTAGAGAAGTTGCTGAGGACCTAAATATATCGATTGGCTCGTGCCATTCGATTTTTATTAATGATTTGGGCATGAGACGGGTCGCCGCGAAATTCGTACTAAAATTGCTTAATTGCGACCAAAAACAGCATCGCATGAACATTGCTAATAAGATGTTGGACTCTGTCCGCGACGACCCAAATTTGCTCCAGAGGGTCATAACTGGTGACGAAGCGTGGGTTTATGTTTATGACGTGGAAACCAAAGCTCAATCATCTCAATGGAAGCTGCCGCACGAACCAAGACCGAAAAAAGCGCGCCAAGTTCGGTCGAATGTGAAAGTTTTGCTGACAGTTTTCTTCGATTTCAGAGGCGTGGTGCATCATGAGTTCTGGCCACAGGGTAGAACGGTCAATAATGAATATTACCTGCAAGTTATGCGCAATTTGCGCGAAGCAATCCGCCAGAAACGCCCGGATTTGTGGAAAAACAAAAATTGGCTTTTGCAGAAAAAGATTTTTAGAAAATGATTTTTTGAAGTGCTTCGAAGATTGGAAAAACCGTTGGCACAAGAGTATAATATCTCATGGGGATTACTTTGAAGGAGACAAAATAGGTATTCATGAATAAATAAATAATTTTTGAAAAAACACAAAAGTCGCGATACTTTTTGAACACACCTCATATTGTAGCAAGGTATTTATTATTTTATTAACCGAGTACCATTTTTTATGTTTATATTTTGCTACTCTGTGAACTTCCCTTATTCCTTATCTTTAATTTTTCATTCATAGTTTGTTCTTGTCCTAAATAAACTGCTGTGTCATCCTGAAGTTTGTCTTTCCCATTTTTCACGTGGCATTTTGGTGGAGATGCTGTGTAAATTAGGGAAGACAAACTGAAGATCGCCGAGAATACCTAGAGGCCATGGGTGCTGTGATCTACATTTTCAAAGATTGGCTCCAGGATTCCTGAGCCGTGTCAAAGCCAAGAATTATTTCCAAAATGACGATGTTCCTATTGACGATACAACGACAAAGCTGCTATTCACGCCGCAAGAAAAAGGACACAAAGTACTAGAGACAAAGTTCCTAGACTTCGATGGAATCCTTGGCAAAACCACGTCAGATCCATGTCGTTAAATACAATAATTGCAAGCTGTGGGTCACAGCTCTCATAGGGAAGGAGCTATGTAGCAAAGTATTTATTATTTTTTTAACAGAGTATCATTTTTTATGTTTTTATTTTGCTACTCTGCAAACTTCCCTTATTGCTAATCTTTTGTTTATCAATCATAGTTTGTTCCTGCCTGAAGTTTGTCTTTCCTGATTTTCCACGTGGCAATATTTACTACATTCTCTTTGTGAGAAAATAAAACGGCAATGCCGAAATTACAGCTCCGTCCTTCTCAAGTTAAACACTAACCTAATATAATCAACGACACAAATAATTAAAAATTTCTAATTGTTAACACGACGAAGAGTCCCAAACAAAAATTTAATTCTCGGCCCGTACCTTAAATCTAAACACTTCACAGCTATTTGTCGGCTACAATAAGTATTTGTGTTAATTAAAATGCCACTAATTATAATTAGGAGCTTGCTCTTTTAATCAAATTAACTTTTCACACTCTTCTAATTTTAATGTAAATATTTGGTTCAGTCTCTCTTGCGACTTTATCATTATAATTTAATTTGGTTATAAACCCATTAAGAAATACATTTAAAATGTAAAGAAAATTTGACTTTCCTGAAATATTGTTTCGGTAAAAAATTTCATATCAAGAAATTTCAAATTATTGGACACTTAATCCAAACTGACTGAGAAAGAGCATTTTGACCCACTCACTCTTCTTGCACATCTGTCCGTGCATTGTTGAACGAAGGCTTTGATTTCACATACTTCGTAGTTGTTGTAGTTCGCTTCACCATTTTCTTCTTCTTTATGGCAAACCTCATTTTCTGGATACCTGTTATAATCAGTACTATGATCAGTTAAAAAAAAATCTACTAAGACTTGAGGCATTTTTAAAGAAAGAGGTGAAATTTTTTGTACAAGAAAATCAGGGATGACAATCATGTATCAAAAGAAGCACATCACCATTTAATTGTGCATTGGTATAAAGCATTATGTAAATCATCCTAGTTAAAATTACCATGGTGGTTTTCTTATCACTACCATTATACCGCTTCGATTTCAGAACATCCTACGAGAGATGTTCGAATTTACCTAAAGTGACAGGGACCGATTTCCAGGCTAATATACAACATAAGGTAGCGGGAAGACAATATTTAAGTACCAAAAAAGAAAGACACCTCTTCGTTTAATCATGCATCAGAAAAATGCCTTATTTTCATTACTAGGTAAAAATTAACTGTATTGATATAGAATCACCGTGAGTATTATATGTAATATATTATCTCTTTAACTGGTGGCAGTCCAGATGGCACAAGAACCTATAGGACCTGTAACAACTGTCCTGGTGTGGAAATAACACCTATCTACATATTCTTATGCCCAGCAATGGACCCATGGACCCAGAGCAGCAGCTTTACACACCCAAGATAGTGGACATTGCGACTGCTGTGATAGAGATGCATGGGGACATCTGTGGCTCTTCATTGAACACGACAGCAACAACTGGTGGCAGTTGCATTGATACCAGTGTTACACAATTGATTCCTCCCAAAATAGACCGCATTTTTGTAATCTTAGCTGTTTTTTTAGACACGAATCTATCATGATTCTTTCCCAAGATACTATAAAGATTTCAACTATTTTTGTTATTTATAGACATTAATCTGAATTTTTTCCTGTCAAATTCGGCATTTGTGCAATCTTTTTAATTATCAATTTGATGCGGTATTTATTCTTCAATAAGAATATCTGAGAAGAATATTTTGAGAAGGCTTGTATTATCAGGGGTTAATTTTGCGAACGCTTTTTTCAGCTTCATCTCAAGTCCAAAATCACCATTTTTTCGATCAATTCGAATATTGTAGCAACTACAATAGATTGAGTAATTCTGTTCGCTCTCTCTAATGGAATTTCATGTATTTTCATTACGGTATTACAAAGCTTTTTTCTTTTTGGAATTACATCATTTTTCCGTTCTAACTTTATAATACCCAGTTTACAACGAACCACGGAAATTTTAAGGAATTTTTATCAACAATTGGAGCGTTTGAGAACGCTAGCTGTCACTGTGGCAAGGAAATCCAGGACTCGAGACACCTACTGCTGGAATGCCCACTCATCTTTAGCGCTAGACAACAGACAGTAAATAATGTTGTATATCTCTATGAATTTGTAAATAACAGAGATAATTGTCACTGATTTAACCATTTTTGTAAATATATTTATGATTATCTTTCTGAACTGGAAGGATCAGGTTCCTAATATATATATATATATATTTTTTTTTCTAAATATATTTTCTTATATAATATGTTTATAACTACTTCTGTTTAGAAATATAAATCGACGCAATTATCCCAAGACGGGATATCACGTTTTATGTGCTGAAATAAAATAAAGAAATACGGTATAAACAGTATATATTTTATTCAAACGATTAAAAAGTTACAGAAAAGTTTCTAATTAAATCAACACAGAAGCAAACGGAATTCTGAATATAAAATTTGAGGATTGAGATTTGAATATGAAATTCTTGCGAAATTTTTCATATATATGAATATAAATATATAAAATGAATAGTATGTATTGTGTGAAAGTTTTGCCACAGAATAAATATCCCTCATTGATAAGATGGAGTAAATCGAATCTTCAATCTAGAATCTTTTGTGAGATTTTCCTTTTCATCCTTCAAATGAAATATTGGTATGAATTTTTTTCTTTTTCCTATTTGGTCTTTGAAATTTTTATTGATGGGATTAACCAACGTGAAACTTTGAAGCCCTATCTTTCTAGATGCATTTATTGGAAACCTATACAGTTGAATACGGTGAAGTATAATCAACACATTAATTGATTAATTTACTGAGTGTATTGTGTGTTGATCTAGACGACGGGGTATAGAATATGATCTGGCAAAACAGGACAGTCTGATGGATTCAATAAAAGGGCTAACGCCCTGTCTCTTTAAATAAACCCACAACTTCTATATATTGTGATATTTATAAATAAATATAGGTGCGAAAAGGATTCACCTCTCCCTTTTAGAATTATTCCAAACAATTGATTCATTTATAAATGACAAATTAATATTTAATAAAGGTTTATTTTTTTAATTCTATCAACCAACCAGGCGCGATATAGAAATATTTGCGCCTATTACAGAGAAAACAAACAGAGACAACAAAAGAAATTAAAACTTAGAATCAAATATTCACAAATTCACATGTATTATTCGACAGAGTTAATTATATTTATATAGAAAAAGTGACAGATGTAAGAAAGTTAAATGATTTAGATCAGGGAAAAAAACGATTTCTCACTTCTATAAAGTTCGGATAGCCATAGTAAGGTGAAAAGCAGTTTGTTCAGTTTCTCTGCAGTAACAATTAGACGTTTCTGATATACCTATTTATGTAAGTATTGTTGGAATTTTTTCCGTGTGACTATATTGAGTGACTACGAGGATTAAGTATTAAATTTGGATAGAACTGTGTAGGAATTCGTTTGGAAGAATAGTGCGAATTGTATGAAAGGTTTCCTTTTCGAACATTCAAACTTACCTAATAGATAAACTCATTGACAGAACTTGAAGAAGTTATAAGAAATACTAGACGAATGACCCGAATTCGCCCGAGAATTCCCCCGAGTGAAATTTCCATCATACTGAAATTACATCAATAATAAATAGTATAAGTGCCATAGAATAGCAATACAGAAGTAACACATAAACCACAGGCAAAAAGTGTGTGTGATGGAGAAAATTAAAATGTACAAGTATCAGAGTCATCATCAAAAATCAATCAATTCTGTCAATTTTGCTTTTGTGAATGGAATAAATACCCAAATATGGCCACTTCTTATAAGCATCGGTGCTTCAGTGGAACAATGCTCGCCTGCCACGCGGGCGGCCCCGGGTTCGATTCCCGGCCGATGCATTTTTTATACAATTTATAAAACTCATTTATATTATTCTATACAAGTATCAGAGTCATCAATTCTGTCATCGTTTGCTTTTGTGAATGTATGTAAATAATGGATTTCATATTTTTTATTAATTTTTGTTCTGGCCATTATTTGTTTAAATCTTTTTTTTTAAAATCGTTTAAAATGCAGTCGCAATCATTAGCGAACACATATGTTTGCCTAATATTTCCATATGCTCTTTTATTTTTTATAGAAAAAATTTACATGCCAGTATTTTGGATTATTTTTTTTATAAACCTTTTTTAAAATTCTTACTGAGAAGATGGGCATCGCAGTCAGGATTCTTTACAGTCATTCACTCAACTCAGGCAATTTCAAAGGTTAATGGGGGTTTGGTGGAAAAGCTGCCGTCTATTTAAACTATATTAATTTTGAAACAACTAAATGGATTGCAAGAAATAATTAAATCAAATACCTAAACACTAATATAATACAATTTTTGCCATTACACACTTTTTCCTGTATTTTATGTTTCTTCTGTATTGCTATTCTATGACACTTCTACTACTTATTATTGATGTACTTTCAGTATGAAGGATACTTCACTCGGGGGATTTCTCGGGCGAAGCCGGGTCATTCTTCTAGTTGTATTATATAAGTGTTTAGGTATTTGATTTAATTATTTTTTTCAATCCATTTAGTCGTTTCAAAATCAATATAGTGGACATTGCTGCTGCTGTAATAGAGGTGCATGGAGACATCTAAGGCCCTTCATTGGACAAGACAACCACAACAACAACAACAAAATCAATATAGTTCAAATAGAGGGCAGCTTTTCCACCCAACACCCGAGGTACCCGCCCCAGCGCATTGACCCTTTAAATTGCCTGAGATGAGTGAGTTACTGCGATGAATCTTGACTGTGAGGTCATATTCTAAGTAAGAATAAGAAAAAAATAGGTTTATAAAAAAATTAATCCAAAATACTGGCATATAAATATTTTTCAGTAAAAAGGCCAGAACAAAAATTAATGAAAAATACGAAAGCCATTATTCAAATACAGTAACGCTAATTTTGTAAAGTCTTTTTAAAATTGCATTGTGTGCACTTCTCGTAACTTAGTTAATAATATTAATTTCTCTCTGAATACTCAATACTTTTGTAAAAAAATAACACTCGTATGAAAAGATATTTCAAAAAAAGTACGCAAGCAATTTGAAAAAAAAATGCAGAACGCTCATTAGTCGCTTAATTAGCCTGGTCTTTTTATTTCGCCTCGTATTTACTCCGCGTAAAAAAGTTCTTCAAATGAAAAAAATTAAATAGCCAAAAATACTAATCAAAATGTAACCAAAATATTTCCTCGGGTTTATAAAAGGCGACATGTAAAATTTGGTACCAATTGGTTCAATAGTTTTTGAGTTTATCGCGAAACAGACAACAGATATTGACTTCTATATGTATAAGAAGAAAGATGAACTATTTCTGGACGCCTATGAATTTTTTCAAAATTAAATAATTTTTCGCCTTAAACCAATGGAAATTTAATGAGAGCGCGTTTTTAACTCTTCCAGCGATTTAGTTAGTTTAAGGAAGTGGAAAATCTTTGATGTCGCCAATCCATTGCGTTTTTTTATATTATTATTTTTTTTAAGAGGCAATTTTGTTCACACTTGGTTATTCCGGGTTTCTTCAATAAAATCCACTGTGTATCAAATATCTTTCAGATTTCTTGTCTGAATCCCGATATACTGCCAGAAGATATAACCTTCTTATGTTTTGTCCATGAGTGTATATGTTATATGTTCTATATGAGATAAGCATATTATTTCCTTCAAGCGGTATTCACCAAAATTCTATATACAGTTACGAGCGTCATGCGTTCTTCATCTCTGTCACCGTTTGCTTTTTTTTTTTTTGGAATGGCGCTCTCCTATTGGTCCGCCACTGCGCGAGATACTTTGTTTTTGACTTTGCCCCCCCCGACTCGCTTTTTGGTTTTTGTAACTATTGTGTTGGAGTGGGTCGCTCCTTAAATAAATGCATATATTAGTTAATAACTAAATGGAATCCTCTCTTTCTTTTTTCCCAGTAAGAGACGCCTACGGAAGCCAACAATACATAGACAGATAAAGCACATAGGCTATAGTTATTAACCAATATATTCATTTATTTAAGGCGCCAATTTATAATTGTAACAAATCGTATTTGAATAAAAGCATTCAATCGGGTAAAACACGGGCGTTAATGATCCAACAGGTCCACGTGTCTAAATTAAAACACGGGCGTTGCCCGGGTCATTCGGCTAGTAAGAATATGTTAAGGACTCGGAGTGTGTTGCAACATTTACAGTTTTTCCGATTAAAGAATTTTAAAAGTGTTATGAATTTGAGAAATATATTTATTGTTATAAAGATTCTTCCCTGCTTTTACATTTTGAAACAATCAATAAAGAATCAAGGTTTTGGTACTTATTTATTTTATTTCTTGAGTTTTCTGGACAACATGCCCTTCAACACGGAGATCCAGAAGTAAAACTCTAGCCAATTATAACACGTCGAATTCATATACAAATTTAGATATGTGGCGACCACACTTTGCTTCAGCGAGCGCGCGAACTGGGACAAAGCTCCCCTACACACACGGGCAGTAGACGGCTTCGGCAACCGCGAGCGTCAACCTGACTACGCATCTTCCGACACTTGATCTGACTCGTCGCGGTAAACAAGAAGGCTTGATCCCAACGGCCGTTACTTCTTTTCTCTTTATATATTTCTCTGGCTTTAAATAAATTAATTTTAATTATAATTTTATCAGCGGCCTTTCCACAAGCCACACCAACACATCATGCAACCATCCCACAGATATATAAATGTGCTAAAATCTATTTTACAGATATTTATCTAAACTTGTATTTAAATTTGTCTTGTTATAATTGGCTCTAGAAGTTGTTCTTATGCATCTCCGTGTTGAATGACATGTTAGTCCGAAAGCTCGAGAAAAAAAAAAAGAAATGACAAAATAAACCAAACCCTTGATTCCTTATTGCTTATATCAAAATTTTATTGTGTATTTTATAATTTTTGTGAAATATTGTATCGGATATAATGTATAAGTGTTTCAACTATAATATATTTAGCTATTCAATTTATAAAAATTTATTAACTGATTAAACCTCTATTTTGAATATTTATATATATAATCAACAAATACACTAAACCGAAAACAGTTATTTAGTATTTTATATGCGGATATAAATTATTTAGACGCACAAAAATATGAAAAATAAATCGGAATATAAAGTTTAAATATTTTTTTGTAACACGATTAGGTTTTTTTCTTTAAAAAAAAAACAATTTAACCGCAATTTCATAACAATTTTGAAAGACCCTAGCAGAAAAATATTTTAAAATAAAATCTTTATTGAATTTACATGCATGCTCAGTTTATTACATTTTTCATAATCAGATTTTCAATTTCTGTATGAGGAATTTGTTTATGATAGGGAAAACTATTTCAAAATTAGGTTTTTGCTCTTTATTTTCTATTCATATTGGGGGTATCCGATTCCATTTTTTATCCGTTTTTTTCAGGTGAATGACAATTATTCGTTTTATACCATTTATATTTATCAATTTGTACTCGTATTGTATTTGTTTAATTTTGTGATGGAGAACAATTAACTAAAATTCAAAATAAATTCAAAATTCAAAAAAATTCAAAATTTTTCACGATGGTGCTGCAAAAGGAACCTGGATTTGTTAGAACATACCATATCACAGCATTCCGGCTTCCAGATTTGTTGTTGGTTAACATTGAAGGTTCTTATTTCTGTGATGTAGCGTCAAAGGTAGACGAGGCCATGGTTGCCAAGATGACAGTCCATGCTGTTACAATCATATTTATATTCAACTAATTATTATTAAATCACGTATTTGTAATGTATTTTGCTTCGAAATATAAAATGTGTGAAATACAGTATATGAGTTGTGTTTGTGCATATAATTATTTTTATTTTATGAGCGCCACACACACACACACACAATATATATGTGTTTATGAATCTATATGTGATACCTCCTTTTATATACAATAGAACTTGGTTAATTCCAACGTCTTTAATTTGAATATTTATCTTGGTCCCTAGAATTTGGTCCCTTTTATTCAAAACGTTTTTAATTCGAGTTTTTGGATAATTGAACTTTTTTTGGTCCCTTGGGCTTCGAATTATCCAAGTTCGACTGTATATATTGAATCACATCATATTTATACAACAACAACAAAAAGCCTTTATTGAGGACCTCTCGTCCTATAAAGGATTCGCCAGTTTACAGAGTAATTGAAGAGAAGAGAACTAAGAATACAGAGAGAAACCTATATGTAGTAGGTATAGTATAGTATTTTCTACACTGTGACTATATACAACCGCAGCAACAAGTCTTTTACTGGAATCAAAGTCCCATACAGGATTCGTCATTCTAATCCTGACATAGATTATTTGCATATAATTATTTACATCAATTAGATTATGTATTGGGAGTACAAATAAGTTTTGAGGGATTTGCAAAAGAAACTTCCACGAATATTATATAAATAGCATCGGACCTTGTAAGGTTTCATGTTAAGGCTTCATCATTTCCCCAAAAAAATCAGAAGGAGTCTTTTCACTCAAGTGTAAGGAACTTTTTTTTTTTGGTGCTCTAACCATGTCAACCTTTTTGCCAACAAAACACAATTTGCGGGAAGCGCTGCTTTTTTGTTTTAATTTGAAGAAAAGTGCAACTGATGGACATCGATTGCTGTGTGAGGCATATGGGGAACATGCTCTATCAATAAAATCATGTGAGTACTGGTTTCGGCGTTTCAAAAGTGGCGATTTTGACACCAGAAACAAAGAACGCGGAGGGAGGCCAATAAAGTTCGAAGACGCTGAGTTGGAGGCTTTATTGGACGAAGATTCAAGCCAAACACAAGAGGAGCTCGCTGAAACCTTGGGAGTGACTCAACAAG